ATGAATTGCAACAATCGCTTCCACCTCCTAGCCTATGCGATCCTCTAAAGTTATTCTTAATGGCTATCTATAACCGATTACTGAGGGTCGTGGTGGGGCCCCGTGTTTTGTCACCTGGTCGGCAGACTCGGTAATCAGCAAGGGCTTATGATGGGGTGCATCTCCGACTAGCAGTGATGTCCTCGTGACCTATGCGATCTTCTCCCTTAGGACGTTGATAAAAACCGCGATGGACCCCTCCTGACATACTTTAAACGCTCTCAGCAGCGGCCGTCCGATTTCCGTATGATCTACCCCCCCCCTCCCCCACGGGCAACAGTTTTTCTCCTTAAAATCCCTTAAATGGCATTTAGACCCCTCCTAAACAGTGCCTAGGGAGTGTTTTCACTGTTTACTCTTTTCATGCAGTTCCGTTACCGGCAACACCACATGTTATGCTGAAATAATATATTTTTAATAGCTGCTCTGTACCAATAGGGAGTTTAAAGGTATTAACCTATATTTACCTTAGTAAACCTGGTCTGACCTGTGAAGGTATTCATTGGAACATATAGTTATTTGAACATAAAATAAATTTACAACTTACAACAAGTTTACTGACATCCTAGGTAGGTTTTCAGGAATGAAACTTCTACATGGATGCGTTTGCTGGACGAATTCGCAATTTTGATCCACTGATCACTCAAAACGTTTCACAATTCTTCTTCCACTGTATGTGCCGAAGCGACATGGTCCATTTTTAAAGATCAACAACCGCTAGGCAATTCAATATTATTATCGGTTTATTGCAAATAGTTCTGTAGATATCTTAATAAATTGCGTCAACGACAAGTACTATACACACTATTTCATTGCATTATAGTCCACCAAAACAGACGGCCCTCTCATTTGGTATGACAAAAGGCGCGTTATGCACAAGGTGTCCTCCGACGGTTGTAAATATTACTGCAGGCTCTCCACAGACCTCGCGGACTGTCGAAAGGCAGTTTTGGCGGTCTTCATACTTGAGCCCCCGAGGGCAGCATAGCCAAAGTTTGAGAACCAGACAAGGGCACTGGAGACAGAAGAATCCCCGTTCCACATGCCTCGTCTAATTGGCGACAGATGTTTGATTATGCATCTACGGCCCGGCAGGCAAGGCGCAACTCACTCGGACTTTTGCCC